CATGAAATACCCTTTTTGCAGCCGGACTGAGGGCGTTGCCGGAATACTGAGGGCGTTGCCGAGATGCTGCCAAGAGTCCCGCAAACTCAGCACTACTGACTGAGATGCCGTGACATACCCTAAACCCCTAAACCCCTAGTAAACCTAGTAAACCCCTAAACCCCTAAACCCCTAAACCGTGAACCGTAAACCCTAAACCCAAAGTCTCCTAACTCCTACATACATGTGTAGCTCTACACACGGGTGCTACCAGGTCGTGCCCCAAGGAGAGCCGGGATTCTCTCAAGTCTGCATCCTTGCTCAGGTCGTCTGATGAAGCTTCCTTGGCCCGCTTTGCCTGGCAAAGAACTTTGAGGGATCTACGGAAACCCTAAACCCTGAATACCCGAAACCCCTAACGCCCCCCCACCCCCCGGCAAGGCTTGTAGAGGATCTCTCCACTTTTCACATCCCTTTCGGTGGTCTCCCTCATCTGGCCTGGGATTACCAGGGTGCTAAATACGACTCCAGAAAGGACACGGCTTTAGGACCGTGCGAGTAACCCCTTTCCTTAATAATATGTACAGTAGTTATGATGAGAAACGAAAACAAACAACCAACGAACTAGCCCCAAACCCGGTCCGGCAGTTGCCCCGTCGAAGATGTCTACCGAATCATGTTAAACTAGTAGCCCTGCAATTTGAAACCCGAAGTCTTAACCCCTCAGTTCCCCATAACTCTCACTCTAAAACTCAAAAGATTCGTTAGAACCCACACGCTTGATGCGCCCCCCACAAGCTTGACTAAGAACCCCCCAATACCAAAAACCCTTTCGAGGTTTTTCTTTGGCGTGGGGGGGTGCTCCCGTTAATATTCGTGGGAAGGGATTAGTTACGTCAAATCCCCGAACACTCGAAGCAACTCCGAAATATCAAGCTCGCGAAGATATTCGCCGTGCAGCTGCCCACCTCCTTGTGCCAACCCTAAATCGACGCAATACCAACCCTAAACCTACCATCAAACTATGTGAACACTCAGCTTGTACCGTTTACACGACAACTAGCCGCTATCATGCGTCCCTCCAAGTACACACGGAAGTGAAGGGAAGGCATGGGGACTTGAAGTCATACCTGCTTCGGCTACTTGAAGGTTCATGGCTGGTAGTTATAAGTAGGGTCATGAGTATGATTGAGTATGGCAACTACAATCAGAACTGGTTTACATTTCTAACCTTATATTAGGTACTTGTAACCTTATCTAGGTACATTTCATCTTCGACTCCCTCCACCGCCTCCCGCTCCTCGCGCCCCCTCTGGACCTCCTCCGCCCTCGCCTGGAGCTGCTGAAGCTCTGCCTTGAAGCTTGGCCGCACCTGCGGGAGGCGGGCGGAAGGCATCCACCTACACCAGCGCGCACCCGCTCGCGCGCATACATCCACGTGCACGCACGTGCATACATACGTGTGGGCACAGCTACCTGGATACATACATACGTACATAATTTCGTACCTACATACGCACGTACGTACAGACATGCATACACACACGCACACACACACACACACACACAGGTACACATATATATATATATACCCATAAATGAAAAATAAATAAGCAAACATATAAATAAATAAATAAATATATATATATATATATATGCATATGTATATATATATATATATATATATTAATTATTATTTATTATTATTATTATTATTGCTATTATTATTATATATATATATATATATAATATATATAAGGCGACGCCCCCCCCCCCCCCCCCCCATACGCAATGGTCTCCGCCAGCCCGAATTACAACTCATGGTAGGGCCCTTTTCGCCGAACAAAAGCCACCATGACTGTCCCCGGGGACCTAAAAAACATTAAATAGCCATACACATACCAAAACTCTACATGTAGACATGCTGTCATTCGCACGAAGATTTGCTATTGCGATGACTATGACATTCTGACTGTTAGTGTGTATGTGTGTGCAAAGCACTATAAAGCACTTGTACGAGGGATCCTTCAGTTGACCGCTCTCTTAATAGTTCGAAGAGCTGGCAAACCTGAAAAGTTTCAAGAATTCTCGCAGAACATGAAGTTCCCGGAGCTTGGACCACTCACCCCCGTGAGCTTTTTGTTGCTGAGCTGTTTACATCGGGGTTGTTCAAACATCAGGGCCCTTGGTCAGAATTCTAGTACACTTCCGCCAGTGGTGTATGAGCATGTCGGGCCATGCAATTTTCCAAAATGGAACCTGCATAGTTGTCAAGAAAATCTCCTCCCCCCAACACTTTGTAGAAGTGACCCCTAAACCCTAAACCCTAAACCCTAAACCCTAAACCCTAAACCCTAAACCCTAAACCCTAAACCCTAAACCCTAAACCCTAAACCGCCTCCTCCGAAGCGGCCGGGGAGCAACGGCTGTAAGCTCAAGGGCCCCATGAGAGGCTGGCAGCGAGTGAAGCTCTGCGTCGTCGAGCAGCTCCTCTTTGATGTTTAGGGTTTAGGGTTTAGGGTTTAGGGTTTAGGGTTGTCATTTCGCGGCTGCTTGAAGGCGTCTACTTGGAGGTTCATGGGTAATTGCTAGTGAGGCTCTAAGTAGGGCATCTCTTGTTATGACTGGTTTGAACCTTTCTGAGGGTAATGAAAACCCTACTCATGACCACCCGTGAGCCTTCAGGTAGGACATTTCTGGTGCTGTGTCAGAGAAGTAGGGTGTCATAGCCTTTCTTCGGGTACTTATAACTTATAACCCTACTTATAACTAACCTTCAGATCGGACATTTCTGGTGCTGTGTTGTGTTTTAACCTTACTTAGGGTGCGTAGCACCCTACTTATATAACTAACCTTCAGGTCGGACATTTCTGGTGCTGTGTTGTGTTTTCACCTTACTTAGGCTACTTATAACCCTACTTATATAACTCACCTTCAGGTAGAACATGTCTGGTGCTGCGTTGTACGTTTTGTTTGTTGTTGGTTTTCTGGCGAGGTTGTCGCTCTTGGTTAGTAGAGTTATAAGTTGGGATCTTCCCCGTTATACCAACAGTCCTTATTGGGGATTATAGTACCCCCCCTAAAATGATCCCTATGAAGGACTGTCAGCATGAGGGGGAACATCCCAAGTTACAAGTGCACTAAAAAGATCATATAACTTAACTGTAGTTACCCTACTTTCCACTACCTCCACAGCACTTGAAGTTGAGCCCTTACCTGAGCTATAAGTATTGTATCATAGGTTATCAAGTGCTTTGAACTAAAGTGAGTCCAGTAATGGTAAGGCGGCCCTCTTTGCGAAACAAGCTCGAGCATGTACTGGGCATACTTACTGCGGCAACCCCAAAAAGGCGGGGACCAGGAGGATGCGAGCGGACTACGACGGATTGTTCGGGAGCTTGTGACTTATGCTCTTGGCTACACAACCCAAGAGCACCATACAGTCGGGTTTAGGGTTTAGGGCGGCTATGAGCGGCAGGGCTGAGGGAGGAGGAGAGGAGGAGGCAGCTTGTTCAAGTCAAGTAATAAGTCCTACAAACCCCATACCCCAAAACCCTACAAGCCCCAAACCCATGCCCTTTCCCTGTGGTCCTTGCCCCCGTGCACGAGTCGCACGGTTGCCCCTGCGTTGAGCTCCTTCAGCACCCCCTGCAAGAGGCGCCGTCTCAGATGGCCTGCGTGAAGGCGCATGGGTGGTTGAGGGAATTACGGGCTGAGGATTGGTCTCCGAAGTTGGACAACGAGAGTATGGCCCTATTCAGGGTACCTGCAACCAAGCATGCACGAACTTAACTTCTATGTGCAGACATGTGCCTCTCAAACTTCAAAAGAGATCACCCCCAGTGCCCAGGCACATTTTATTTGCAAACTTAAAGGTTCATAGGTAGTTTTTAGTAGGGTTTAGGGTTTAGGGTTTGGGGTTTAGGGTTTAGGGTAAGTCATAACTATAGTCACCCTACTAACCCGGTCATGAACCTCCAAGTAGACTAATATAGGGGTCGGAATCATTTTGAATAAATATTCCCTTATGGTCCCTTTGTACTAAGACCTATAATAGCCCCCAAAAACCCTATTCTAATGGTTTATGGTCCCTTCGAAATGAGACCTATAAATATTGGCCCGGAAACCCTATTCTAATGGCTAATTAATAAGTACAATGAACCTCCAAGTAGGGCCTGCACTGCCCTGGGCAGCTTCGGGGCCCAGTAGCTTGCCGCCGTCCAGGCCCAAGACAGTGAGCGACTGTGCAGACGACATCGGTGCGTTAAGGCTGGGGGGGAAGGGGGGGGGGGTGGGGTGAGGAGCCCTCTAAAGCCTTATAGACCCTTGCAAACCCTTATAAACCCTTTTAAACCCTTAAACCCTAAACCAAACCCTGTAAGGTTTGAGGGACAGCTCCTCCATCTTCATTGCTCATATCTCAATTTTCAGGACTGATTTGGGTTCTAGGAAACCGTATTGTTTTGACTACTCTGTATCGCGGCACCCTTGCAGCACGCTGCTGCAAGTGACATGCTTCTTGAGGATGTGGCAAAGGCCTTCATGTTCAGCGCAGCTTCGCACGCCTCTACGCATGTGTGCCATTGACATGTGCAGAGGGGGACTGCCAACTTAAACACAAAGCAGCGAGACTCTAAACCCAAAGCATTCTGAGACTTAGAGGGGAATTCGCTCATACCGGATTTAACTGTAGAATGTTGCAGTGTCATCGCGTGCGCACAGCATAGGCGCCGATGCTGCGCATGAGCTCAAGAATCGGAGCCTGCTGAAAAAGCCGTGGCGGTCAGAAACACCCTGACCAAAGAGTACAGAATAACATAAACCACTATCAATGTACGCAACCCCCACTGGCTCCCTGTAGGTTCTGCTCAGGTTCTGTTGGGGCTGGTGAAGAGGGTGCTGGAGGCTAGCCCCACCCCTTTTGGAGGGTCTTGGAGGCCATGTTGGGGCTGGCTCCACGCTCTTGGAAGACAAACAGACCTAATACCCTAAACCCTGAACACTGCAGCCCTGGCAGGGTCCCTGAGCTGCGCTGTCGAGGCAGGCCAGCGAAAGCCTGCGAAGGTGCATGTTTAGGGTTTAGGGTTTAGGGTTTAGGGTCTAGGGTTAGGGTTTAGGGTTTAGGGTTTAGGGTTTAGGGTTTAGGGTTTAGGGTTTAGGGCTTTCTATGGGGGAGGCGGGGGCGGGGGAAACCTTACCTTGGGGGGGTGAGGGGGACGGGGATGGGGGGGGCGAGGGGGGATGGGCAACACTGCACCATATAGAGGGTCTATCGGGCTCAAGAGCGTCCGAAGTAATCCTGGAGCCCCGATCCTTCTTGGCGTCTTTCAAGTACCCACACACTGAGGGCAACAGGAGGCAAGTGCAATTCTTCTCACACCCTGCATGCCTGCATGTCCGCCGCCTTGTGCTGATGTGTCTTGCAACCTGGAGAAGGGCAGCTGGGTAACGAGGACCCCTTTGAAGAGGTTCCGCTGGAGGTCCTACTTTGGCTATCCAGTACGTGGCTCTATGCGCCCTAAACCCTAAACGCTAAACCCTAAACCCTAAACCCGTTCTGTCAAGCTGACCACTTTGAGCGTATCACTAGCGGATCTCGAGCACGAAAGCAGCTCCAACAAGGGGGCAGCAAACAGGGTTTGGGATTTAGGGTTTAGGGTTTAGGGTTCCATCTTCTGGAATGGTCAAACTGCCAGTGTATTCTCCATTGCCTGTGGCACTAAAAGTTGGGGTGTTCTGCCTCTCCTTAGTGGAGTTGTTAAGGGCAAGCTCATCTGGTGTCAAGCATTTGGGGTGCTGCCGTTACTGCAGGCTAGGGTTCCCCGGGTTTATATACACAGGTATATATATATATATGCATATACATATATATGTATTTCTTTCTTTACTTATTTAGTTAGTTATTCTTTAATATTTAAGCCCACAGAAATTACTTGGTGTTTTGCATTTCAGGTTTAGGCTGCGAAGCGCAGCTCGCCCTGACAGCTCCCAGAGCAGCGAAGTGACAGGGCTTAGGGTTTATAAAAAAGGGCTTAGAGTTTATAAAAAAGGGCTTAGGGTTTATGAGAAAAGGGCTTAGGGTTTATAATAAAGGGTTTAGGGTTTATAAAAAGAAGCTTAGGGTTTAAGGTTCCGACTCTCATGGCTGGCACAGGCCGAGGGTATAAGGTTTAGGGTTTTTTGGGTTTAGGGTTTTAAGGTCTAGGGATTTTAGGTTTGGGGTTTACACTTAAAGGAGATGATGATGGTCCACTGGCATTCTTCTGCGTCCGACTGCTGCTGCATCCCAGGTGCAGCCATTGCGGAGGGCGCAAGACCTTGTGAAAGAGGCCTCCGCGGAAGGTTTGGGGTTTAGGTTTTAGGGTTTAGGGTTGTGGCATGCTGCGTTCAGAGCTGCTGGGTTTGGAGTTTAGGGCTTCAGAGAGGGATAGCGCAGCTAAACCCTGAGTCCCAAACCCTAACCCCTAAACCCTAAACCCTAAACCCTAAACCCTAAACCCTAAACCCTAAACCCTAAACCCTAAACCCTAAACCCTAAGGTCCTAAACCCTATAAACCCCACCACCTTTCTTCAAGTTGCGACTTGCAACTATACTCCCTTTCAACTTGCAACAATATAGTATTCCTAATATTCCTTTGGGTTGCGAATAAATACATAATTCCTAAGGGGGTTGTCGTATGTTTAAGATTCCCTTGGGTTGTAGGTAAAGTACAAACAAAAAACTCCTAAGGATAAAAAAACTCCTAAGGGGTTGTAGGCAAACAAATCAGCATCACGATCCCAGCTAGTGGGCCTTGCCGAAGTGCCAGGATGTCGACCTGACCAGAGTCCAGAGGCTACTTGTAAGGTGGTGTAGGACTTCTTCGGCCACGGGTTTAGGGTTTAGGGTGACAGAGAGAAACAAAGACAGAGAGCGAGAGAGAGAGAGAGAGAGAACAACAACAAAAAGAAGAGAGAGAGAGAGGGGGGGGGAGAGAGAGAGAGAGAGGTCTTTCTTCGACAGCTTGATACTGAGCCTATCGGCATCAACCCGAAATCCACGACGCCCTGTTAGGATGATGAGGGTATTGGGCGACCAAAAACACCGTCGACAGAGGGTCTGGAAAACCCTTCTCCCTAAACCCTAAACCCTAAACCCTGAACCCGGAAGCCTAAACCCTAAACCTCGAAAGCTGACCCTTCGAGTGTCTCCCCTGGGTTCGGCGATTTTTTTTTTTTTTTGGGGGGGGGGGGGGGAAGGGGTTGTGGATTTAGGGGTGGGGTGTTCCCCCTTATACTAACAGTCCTTAATAGAGATTTGTAATAGGGGGTACTATAAGTCCCTATCAAGGACTGCTAGTATAAGGGGGAACATCCAAAGTTTAGGGTTTGGAGATAGTTTAGGGTTTAGGAAGTGTTTTTTTTGGCACCCACATAGCTGGACGAACCACTCAGAAGGGATTCCAGAATATTGGCCCGGCGGTTTAGGGTCGCGGGTCCAGGGATAATTTTCCAGGCCTTCTCGCGCAAGTCAAAGCGGCCAAGGTGATGGAAACCTCCAGTATAGATGGGATCAGGGTGCAGGGCTTTGAGATCCGAAAAAAGCAACTCCACCCGCAGGCGAAACCCCCTAACCCATGGAATCCGCAAGGAGGCTGTTAGGGTTGAGGGTGTAGGGTTTACTTTGTAAGGGCTTTCGGGCTGAGGGGTCTGCTTCTCTACTCCTGGAAAGGACTGAGCCAGCAGCGCTCCAGGGGCGCACAGGGTGCTTCATAGCCCCAAATCCTAAACCCTAAACCCCAAATAGCTTCCGGCTCGGGATAGCAACCAAGCACCTTTTGCCGAGAGGCTCAGCAAGTGCACGAAGTGATGCAGCGTCCTGCCCCAAGCTCTGTGCAGTGGAATCACAATTATAGCAAGCTGATGTATGCTGTAGGCTGGGGGTACCCATGATCTTAGTTGCTAAGTTCATAAGCCCCAAAAACGTGTACACTTTCAGTTCTACAGGGGACTAGAGTATCCAAAAAGTGTACAGTGCGCTCACTCAGCTGCTAAGTCTTTGAAAGGCAACAATGGCAGTGCTACACATGGGATCGGTGCTCACAATAAATTATGACACAAACCGTCCAACGACGCTTGTGTCTGCTTCAGCTTGCGAGCTTCGGAGTTGCGGTTTATAGGGTTGGAACGCGTTCGTTCAACTGACCTCCGTCCACGAGCCCCACAGCCCCCAAGTTCGGCAAAAGCTCCGGCGACAGTCCTTCTTGGCACACATCTCACAGCTCTATTTGATGAGGCTTATCTCTTCCTTTTGAGGCCCTTCATCCTTACCGCAGGCGGGTCCGTGTCACCGGCAGGCGCAGGGCAGCGACGTACTGCAGCTCCTACAGAACATTTGGATACATTCGGCTTCGATTGTCGATCTTTCGGGGTTCAGGGGTTAGCTTATAGAAGTAGGGATGTTCCCTTATACAAAAAAGTCCTTAATAGGGATGGTACTGGGGGGGGGGGGGAGGGTAGTATAATCCCTATGAAGGAGTGCTAGTAGAGTGGGGAACATCTCATTACGGAAGCATCGAAAACATGTCTAGGGCTTGGGGCTCATAACGCACACAAACACGCACAAGTAAAATACATAAAATCGTATGCACATGCACATGGGTGGTTGTCAAAATTCTGATCCCTTTTGGGGTACCTTAAAGCCTACCTAAAAAATATAGGTGCTGTATTATAATAGGGATCCAAAAAGGGACCATCATTTTGACACCCTAAACCCTAAACCCTAAACCCTAAACCCTATAAACCCTAAATACGACCAGCGCCTCGCACAGCGGGAGGTCCAGCCATCGTTCGATGGAGCTCCAGGAGAGGTTGTGCCGAGCCAACCTGCGAAGGCGTTTAGGGTTTAGGGTTTAGGGTTTAGGGTTTAGGGTTTAGGTTGAAAGAGCTTAGGGTTTGGGGCTTAGGGCTTTTGTTGAAACTTTCTGCTATATTTGGGGTGCAGATAGCGCGTTCAGGCATCTGCTCGTTCAACTGATTATGCGGGGGGGAGCGGGGGTCCGGGGGGGGGGGGGGCGGGGGAGTAAGGTAAGGTATACGCAATTCCCTAATCACCGCGTCTTTGTCCTGCCGTACGAATCTCCAAATCGTATCCCCCCCCCGCAAAGAAGGACTCACGACTTGCTGGACAGGTTTAATCCCTAAGCCCTAAACCCTGATGAACCTCTAGACCCTCGACTCTCAGCCCTGAACCTACAACCCCCCAAACAACAACTGCCGGCTTTAGACCGGCTGCAGAAGGCAATCAGCGAGCAGAACAAGGGCAAAGCGCGTGCCCCAAACGGGTTTAGGGTTTATGGTTTAGGGTTTAGGGTTTAGGGTTTAGGGCCAAGCCCTCAGCCCTAAACCCTAAACCCCAAACCCGCATTAAGTCCGATCCGGGAGGCTCCCGAAGACGTTGTTGGCACGTGGCCGGAGCAGCCTTCTCGCCCAGCCAAAAGGGGCCATCACCTGATTTTATTTTGGTTGGCCGCCCGATAAGTTTTTAACCCGAAACCCTGAACCCCTAAACCCTAAACCCTAAACCGGTTGTAGGGCTCTAGGGGTTTTGAGCGTGCAGGGTGTGGGACTTGAGGGTCGTAGGGCTTTAGGGTGAGGGGTTTGCGGCTTCGACTCTGACACTGGGACTGGCACACAGGGTTTAGGGTATCAGGTTCCTGGGTAGATGTAAGTAGGGTGATAAGTAGCCCAAGTAGGGTTCCACGTATAGACACCCTTCTTGTAGCTTATAACCCTACTTGTAACTACCCATGAAGCTCCAAGAAGGGTTGAGGGTCATAAGAGCTTTGGAGTTCATCAAACCTAAACCCTAAACCCTTTTTGCAAGTGGGCTTGTGGGCTAGCCAGATCTGGGGAGCACTGCAGTGTTTGCAACCACTGAACCCTAAACCCTAAACCCTAAACCCTAAACCCCACCCCCCCACCCCCCCACCCCCCCACCCCCACCCCCCACCCCCCCACCCCCCCCCCCCCCCCCACAAAAGGCAGCCCAGGAGCCAGGAAGCTGGCAACGCAGGTCGGGAAGCCTTCGGGTTTAGGGTTTAAGGTTTAGGGTTTCGGGTTTAGGGTTTAGGGCCACTTGGAGGTTCGTTTGGGTAGCTGTAAGAGGGGTGATATGTAAGGTAACTAGAACTAATGCTGGTTGCAACTTGCAACCACATGTATGGCACTTGTTAATTAGACATGGTGTCAGGAATAATAAGTATATCTGGTTAGCACCACCATTTATGATACTTGTAACCTTACTTAAATCCCAAAGCCTACCCAAACTTCCGCGTTAAGTACGCCCACATCATTTCATCCCGAAGCGCTTTCTCGAGCGAGAGGGGGGTGGGGATGGGGGCACGGGGAGCTGGGTTCGAAATCCTGTAAACTCGACATCCTTTTGTGACAATATAGAAATAACCTTTGTTATATGTATATTATACATTTTTTTGTATATATGTATACATACATACATACATACATATATATATATATCTGCCTGTATGTATGTATGTATGTATGTATGTATGTATGTATGTATGTATGAATGTGCATTTGTAACATTTTAGAAGTAGACATATTGTGCATGTCTCTCCCTCTCTCTCTCTCTATATATATATATATGTGCAAACTGGTTTTGCTTGCTGCTTTTGGCGGGCTGTCGTGTTTGTTTCTTTTTGCATGCTTCCGAAAGTCGAGAGTCGAGAAAACAGATCACCAAAATCCCAAAGGAAGCCCCGAGCCTTGACTTCAAAACAGGGTTTAGGGTTTAGGGTTTAGGGTTTAGGGTTTAGGGTTTAGGGTTTAGGGCTTAGGGCTCCTTAGATTCTGGGCCTTCGTGAAGCGAAGCCGCTGGTGTTGGCCCAGCTGCAGAGACCTGAGATGCGTGCCAAGATCGAAGAAGTGGCACGAGAACAGGATGCCTTGGGCTGTTCCCCCAGGTTCATGGGCTTAGGGTTTAGGGTTTAGGGGTTAGGATTTAGGGTTTCAGGGTTTAGGGTTTAGGGTAACTATAAGTTGGGGATGTTCCTCCCTTATACTAGCAGCTCCTTAATAGGGATTCTGGGAGGGGGCACTATAATCCCTACTAAGGACTGATAGTATAAGGGGGAACATCCCAAACGATACCTACCTCTCTCTCTTGCTCTCGCTCTCGCTCTCTCTGCCTCTCTCTCTCTCTCTCTCTCAAAGGAAGCGGTTTTAGGCTATCACGCTTCAAGCTGCGCTTTCTTGGGGGGGGAGGGGGTTTGCCGTCCAACTTCCCGCCGCCAAGCGGCTGCTGCCAGCGGTCTTAGCGATGTGCACCTGCACTTCTCACGCAGTTGCTTAGGGTTTAGTGTTTAGGCCTTCGGGTTTCTAGGATCAACACGCATAATAAGAGTAGAGAAGTCTCAGAGTCTAGTAGTAGAATAATATAAATATACAGAAGTATAAGAATGCTGTATTAGACTTGATGAAGACATTTGCCAGGTCCCTCACACACATCCTGGCAAGCAACCGGGATCGCCTAGACCCTAAGGCCCTAACCCCTAAACCCTAAACCCCAAACCCAGCAAGAAAAGAGAGGATGAGATTTTTGCTTCTTCGCTGGCACGGAGCATCTCGAAGGAAGCCCTAATGCATGAGCCCTTGCAGAACGAAACTCACATGGGAACCCCGGGAAAAGAGTAGGTTTCTCGAATGAATACATGGACCCTGATCCTAATTCTAGCTGGAGATCTCAAAAGGGGGAATAGGGGCCGACTCTGGGTTCTAGCCCTAAACCCTTTTTCAGCACGGACTGAGGAAGCAGCCCTAAACCCTAAACCCTAAACCCCCCAAACAAGAGGGAATAAGGGCTCCGGGCCCTTTTGGGAAAAAGCCTCCGGTGAGCTCCCCTGGCCTGCAGAACCGGTGCCTGCGAGAACTTTGCCCGGCAGGCTTCCAGCGCGTGGGTGAGGTTCCTGAGGGGATAGGGTTTAGGGGTTAGGGGTTTAGGGTTTAGGGTTTAGGGTTCGACCCGAAGTATGGGTTCCTGGGGGCTCAGCTTCATCGGGATTTTAGGGCATGAAAAAACCCTCATATACACTCTACAGAATAAGGGCCCATACTGCGGATCCCATTGAATCCCTTTAAACAAGGCTTACGGTTCAGGGTTTAGGTTTAGGGTTTAGGGTTTAGGGTTTAGGGTTTAGGGTTCCAACCGTAGGTTCCTTGGGGGCTCTCATGAGCTGAGAAGCCGTGCAAGGAGGGGAACCCCCCTGATGATACGCAGGGTGTAGGGTTTAGGGTTTAGGGTTTAGGGTTTAGGGTTTAGGGTTTACGGCTAGTAGTGTGATGGGTACCCTAAACCCTAAACCGCATGTCTTGGGCTGTTTAAGTCCGTGAGCTATAGCTAGTATGGAAAGGGGGCCCCTGCTTGTGAGCCCTACTACACACTACTTGAGGCTCGCAGGTACGGTAGTTTCTGCACGCAAGGCTACACGTATATAACCTGAGACAACGTAACAATAGCTGGCGTACTTACAGCCCAAGCTCGAACCCCCCATGCACCTCCAAGTAAGAGTGTAAGAGAAGTGAGCCCTACACCCTACACCCCAAACCGCTGATGATAAAGAGCCTTATGATTTCTCAAGTACTATAACTTGGGCTTGAAGTCTGTGAGCTCGAGTTAGAACTCCCCTCCATGAGAGCTATACGAGCCTTCATGGACCCCAGTTGTAGTTCGAGGGGTGGCCGTACCCCCTCAGCCCCTTGTTACATTTACATCGGGCTTGCATGTCGCGCCCGGAAGCTCTACGTCCTATTGGGAAGCCTGAAAAAGAGAGGTCATATGCTGACTCAAAAGCGGACAAAAAGTCGCTCAGCCGGCTACAGGGCTACAGGGGGGGCAGGGCAAAGGCGCGTGCCATGGCTGGCATAGGCTCTCTACCTTGGAGGGTCATGGGTAGATCCCTTGGATGCGCAGGTCGAAACGTGAGCCCTTGCTCTGCAATGTGCTCTAGAAGTTTGTTGGGTCGCGGGGGCCCTGTTGGAAGGATACACTCAAAACAACTAACAGGCCCTATGTTTCTGAGGCAGGCAGCTGGACGATCCGACTGCAGCTGCCACTGGATCGATGCCACTTCTCCTTCAAGGCTACAATTTGTGCATGAATCGTGAAGCCCAAACAAAGCCTTAGCCCTAAACCCTAAGCCCTAAACCCTGTTGGAGTTGAAGGGTGCACAGGATACCATCTAAGCGAGCCCTAATGCTCCAACAGCGAACCGAAGAACTGCGGCTGCGGAACCCAAAGCCTGATCTAGCAAGGCTTCCAGGGTTAGGGTTTAGGGTTTAGGGTTTAGGGTTTAGGGTTTAGGGTTTAGGGTTTAGGGTTTGGGGTTTGGGGTTTGGGGTTTAGGGTTTAGGGTTTAGGGTTTTCACACGGGTAGTTCCCCACAGTCGAATCGTTGGGTTTCTATCTCCGGAGCTGGGCATGCGTTATTCGGGGAGTGGATGGGTCAGGGAAAGGGGGCGGGGGGAGCTACAGCCCTAAACCCTAAACCCTAAACCCTAAACCCTAAACCCTAAACCGCGTGGGTCTCTCCTATTGAAAACCCCTTCTAGCTTAGAATGCCGATGAGGACCGAGCATCTTGACCATGGTCGAGTCGGCTAGTTTAGGGTTTAGGGTTCAGGGTTCAGGGTTTAGGGTTTTGGAGTTTTGGAATCCGCCAGCCTGGCCATCAAGACTAGCTTAGGGCCGTAGGCTTACGTGTACGAAAGTCCCACACAATGCATCCGAAACCTCAACCATCAGGTTTGGGGGGGGGGGGTTGGGGTTCTGAGCCCGTCCCTCTGGCGAAGTCATTGCTGCTACATTTCACCTCAAGCTCTCACAGAATGCCACCAAGCACCCTCACCCTCAATCCACTTAACTCATGGGTTTAGGCTTTGGGGTTCAGAGTAAACCCTAAACCCTGAACCCTAAACCCTAAACCGTAAACCCTAAAGAGCTACCATCGCATGGGGGTTCGAGACTGAGAAGAGGCAGGTGTCCCAAAAGAGGAGGTTTCGCCGCATGGCTGCAAGAGCACGCCGGGATGGGCCTGAGTCTGATGCATTGGGGGTAGCCCTAAACCCTAAACCCTAAAACCCCAAACCCTAAACCCTATATACCCTAAACCCTATATACCCTAGACCCTAACCCCTAAAAAGCACGGACTGAAGAGGCTGCCGGCAACACCTGAAAGCAGGGCCTTCTTGCCTTTAGCCCTAAACCCTAAACCCTAAACCCCACACGACTTTTAACCGCCAAGTGAGGGCCATTGCCGGTAGCCCTAAAGCCTAAACCACAGAAGGGTTTAAAGGTTCGGGTCGAAGGATCAAGTCCAGGATGGCGTACGGGTTCCTTGCGACGCTATCTTCGTAGGGTACTTCCATGGTCCCATACTTCAGAACCCTTTAAAAAGGTAAGCGACCGTATTCAGGGACCATGTAGCTACGCTTGGATTTCAAAAGGCCCTCAACCCTAACCCCCACCCCCCCCCCCCCCCCCCCCCCCCCCCCCCCCCCAAAAAAAAAAAAAAAAAAAGGAATAAGGGCCTGCTCGGGGTCCCGGCATCTAGGCGGTGAAAGACTCCGAAATTGTAGGTTTAGGGTTCAGGGTTTGGGGTTTAGGGGTCTGAGGTATCAAAGTTCTGCGAGTTTACGGCTTCGGCATTTTTCTGGGTGCTCATGGGTACCTAAACCCTAAACCCTAAACCCTAAACCCTAAACCCTAAACCCTAAGTTCATGTTACAGTGGCCCTAAACCCTAGACCCTAAAAGCCCTGAATGATTGACACCATAGGCTTTGGCATGGAAGCCAAGAACCAAAACCACGACGACTGTGTAGTACTTGGAGGTTCAAGAGAAGTTTAGGGTTTAGGGTTTAGGGTTTAGGGTTTAGGGTTTAGGGTTTAGGGTTTAGGGGGAAAAAAACCTACTTGGAGGTTCATGGGTGGTTACAAGTAGGGCTGTAAGTTACAATCACGGGGTTTGCAAGGTACTTTTGGCCCCGTACCCAACCTTCAAGTAGCCCCTGCTTGCCAGTTATCAGCGCTGTTGGTAGGGGAACTATGGATGTTACTGTTGATAACAACCTTACTTAGGGTACTGAGAACTGTACTTAGAACTACCGGGAGCCTTCAAGTAGATCCTATACTTAGTTGCTGAGTTCATAGGCCACAAAAAAGTGCAGAGTGTTCTCACTCAGCTACTAAGTATGCCCGAAGCGAAACCCTACTTGCAGCTACCGATGGACCTTCGTAGCGATACAGCCGTTCGTTGAGCCCTGGAAACTTCCCGGGAATCCGAATATGGAAAAGATACCTTTGCTGAACAGCGGATTGTTTAATATGAGGGAGCGTAATCCCGAACAAAAAAGTCATGAGGGTACTACTGGGCATTGCGCACTGAAACCTGAACCCTAAACACTAACCGCAGACCCATAAACCCCTAAACCCCTAACTACACCGGCAGAACGGGAATCGAGGGACTTCTGGGCACCCTGGGCTATGTTCCCCCAACCCGTGTCACTTTGACTTCATCTCAGCATGTAGGGATGCATCCTTCCGTGAGTCCGTGAGTCATTGCAGCCTAAGTGGCAGTGCTCGACCAGCCAGACGCGCAGCCTGCAATCTTGCATTAGCTGGCTCCGGGTGTTAGGTCCCAACCCTAAACCCTAAACCCTAAACCTTAACCTTGTAATATGAGCCTTTCTCGGCCGGGGGGGGCGGCTTCCCCCCAAATTGGGGGTGGCCTGTTATTATCGAGGATTCCCCCACATTCCAGGGACTCGTCCCTACAAGTACGTGGGAAATACTCAAACTTTGGGATGTTCCCCCTTCCACTAACAGTCCTTAATAGGGATTATAGCACCCCCTACACCCTAAACCCTAAACCCTCCCAACCGAAACTCTTGAAGTCTCCGGGGCCTCCGGAGGGCGCGGCTTGCGCTGCTGAGGCTCACAGCCTGCATAGTCTCGGGGGCCCGTTTTTTCTTGATTTGGGGTTTAGGGTTTAGGGCTTAGGGTTTAGGGTTTAGTGTTCAGGGTTCAGGCGCTTTCCCGAAGAGTGACTGAGGGAAAGGCACCTTCAACTATTGGTGACTTTCCCCGAAAGGTTTATTGCTACAGGCGAAGGAACGCCCCTGACTTGAACTTCAGGGTCTGGAAAGAGGCATGAACTGGAAATCCGACTCCTCAACCGACCACATCGCATCGGCAAAGTCTGAACGCTTGACCCGGGGCGACTTACACCACAACTTGCCGGCACAAGGTTAATCAGCATGCAGCTAGAGATGAGGAAACTTCAGGTGCTCTTTGTCTCGTGCTGCTAGCTTGTCGCCGCTCGCGGCTCCCTTGATTATCTCCCCAACGAGGGCCGCAAAAATGCGTCAACACCCGTGGCCCGTGGCTCGACGCTTCTGACTTGAATTCGCACGGAGGGGGAGGGAGAGAGAGAGAGAGAGAGAGTGAGAGAGTGGCCCACTTGCGGTCTACTTAGAGGTTCAGGGTCGTTACAATCAAGGTGATAAGAAGGGTAATTATACTCATGATTGTAAGGGCACTTGTAACCCTACTTGTAACTACTCATGAACCTCCAAGCAGGCCCTCTTGCGAGGGCTTGAATCAAGTCGCGTTGCCATCGCAGCATCCAGTCCCCTGCGCAACCAGATACTCCCTAGACCCTAAACCCTAACCCCCTTTTGAAGCTAGACTTGCTGACTGCCAGGCGCCTGCCTATCCCTAAACCCTAAACCCAAAGCCCTAAGCCCTAAACCCTAACCCCTAAACCCTAGACCCCTGCAAACAGCTTCCGGAGGCCTGCAGCCGGTTGGCCATGGACCCTGCAATGCCTCAGTGCTGTCCGGCTTTCTTGGCGGCTCACTTGGACTAGACCCAGGAGTACTAGGAATGAAAAAGGTGCCCTTTTGGGTTTTAAGGGGATTGTAAGGGAACCCTAACCCTACAAAAGGAAACAAAGGGGCTACTCCGGGTCCTAGTGGAGGTTCATGGGTACTTACTTATAAGTAGAGCAAGAAGTAGGATAACATAGGATAAGGTAGATATAACCTAGTCTACATACTAAAAACACTGCTACGCATAAGTAGGGCTCTAACAAGGATAACCATTGTTCTGACCTTATTTTTAGGTACCTATAACATTGCGTCTAAGTGGGGTTACAAGTGGGATAACCATAGGTATCTCTTCCTTTAGATAGGTACTTTCAACACTACGTGTAACTGCCCATGAGCCTTCAACCAAAAGCCAAAAGCTTAGCTACTCAGCAGCAGAGGAGCACTAAAAGCCTAAACCATATACTCCCTATGATAACCCCACAGTCCCTTTGAGCTCCATAACCCCTATATGAAACCTCTGAACCCTAGAACCCCTACAAACCCCCTAGAAACCTTAAACCCTAAACCCTATAATCCCTATCAATCCCATAATCCCTAGAAACCTTACTACCCCCTAAACCCTATAATCCCTATAAACCCTATGATCCCTATAAACCCTCATAATTCCTATAAACCTCAAAATTTTTGAAACCTTAAACCCTAAACCCTATAATCCCTGTAAACCCCCATAATCCCTGTAAACTCCAGAATCCCTAGAATCCCTAGAAACCCTAGCCCTAACCCTATAATCCTTCCAAGCCCCATAATCATCCCGCGAAACCCTTTGCTGCAGTCGGGGCTGCAGGGGGCCTGAAGGTCCTTTGGAAGTTGCAGGAGGCGCTCCATCCACCTGTCTGGGATTTGGTGTTTGGGTTTATTTAGGGTTTTGGGTTTATTTAGGGTTTTGGGTTTATTTAGGGTTTTGGGTTTATTTAGGGTTTTGGGTTTGGGGTGGGCCGGGTCGCTTCGACTAGGGGGGGGGGGTGGGTGTGGCGGGCTTTGCACTTGGAGGTTCATTGCAAGTTGTAAGTTTCCCCCACTGTGGAGGATTGGTGATAGCTATGGGCCACCTCCCCAGTCCCCACCAAGAAGTGCAAGAAGATGCCATCGAGACCCGCAAGGGTAAGCTAGGAGCCCGAAACCCTAAACCCTAAGGTCTCAGCTGAGAACCGAAGCCACTACAGAGCGGGCCCCCAGGGAAGAACAGAAATCACCTGAAGGATTGGTTTAGGGTTGTTTAGCGCTTAGGGGTTTTATGGGGTTTGGTGTTTTTATGGGGGTTAGTGTTTTGTGGGGTTTTTGGGGCTTTTATAGGGCGCATAGGGTTTTTCGACTCCCCCAAGCCCTCACCTGCAAACCCTCTCCGCAGCCTCCCCATACTTGGAGGTTTATAGGTTGAGCAGGTTTAGCAGTGCCCTGACAAAAGGTCCTAACCAGTTCTCCTATTAATGACCCTAATTCATTACAACTACCCCAAGTAGCCCTAAACCCTAAACCCTAAACCCTAAACCCACTCAGAGCTACCCCATGAACCTCCAAGCACCCCTGGGCCGCCCCGCGCCGTGATGCCGGCGCCCGCCAGGTCGGCCAAAGCGGCGCAGCCGCTCTCCGGGCCACCCTGGGGTTTAGGGTTTAGGGTTTAGGGTTTAGGGTTTGGGGTTTGGGGTTTAGGGTTTATGGCTATTGAAGCTCCCACTAAGGGGAAACAAAAGGCTCTACCTGTTATAGAGGATTCAATAGACGCAGCTACTCCCTAAACCCGAAAACTTGGGGGACCTCAGGCTTCGGATTGAGGATTTAGGGGCTTTAGGATGATCTTGCGTTTAGGGTGCGTCCGTTTAGTGTTTAGGGTTTAGGGTTTTCGTCCTCCACGTTTGCCGCACAAAACGTGGGTGGGGGCGACGGAGGTTGGCTATAGACACTTGCGACTGAACTGTGTTGCTTCAAACTGCCCCCTACCCCTCAACTTCCAAACTTGAAGTCCCGCCCCTCAACTTCCAAACTTGAAGTCCCAAACCTCCCCTACCCCTCAACTTCCAAAATCCCAACAACAGTGCCCTTCATCCCCTGCACTTTCGGACTCAGCTCCCTCCGAGCCAGTCGTACGTGTTGAACTGGTGAGATCTTGTCCCCCACTACTGCCCTGCATGTGGCGACCGCCTCGATCACGCACTCGAAGCTAGTCATGTCGGACATAAACACTGCAGCCAGGCCATCCACGTGGTGCTGGTATTTCTTCGAGGAGCACTTGCCGAGCTTGCTGGTTCGTCGCAGTCCCTTCTTCAAGTGTCCAAGGTAGTCCCGTGAAGACTCTGAAATAATGTAGCCCCTGAACCCTGAACTAATGTAGCCCCTAAACCCTAAACCCTAAACCCTAAAACCTAAACCCCAAACCCTAAACCCTGAAGGTGTGCCGACGATAAGCTCTGTGAATTCTCCGGGGGCGAGTCTTTGAGTCGATGCCTCGTGGCAGGTACCCCGAGTACATATGCCCTAAATACCTTAAACCGAAACCAAACCATAAACCCTAAACCCTAAACCCTAAACCCAAAACCCTAAACCCTAAACCCTAAACCGAAACCCTAAACACCAGCGCCTTTGCTTGAAGCCCAGCCCTACACCCCAAGCCCTTCAATATCTTCTTGCCTTACACATGTCCTGGCTTCGGGTAAGGTAATGACATGGCCCTTTAGTCTGGGCCCTTACCTTATATACCCTTACATACCCTATACAACCCAAGGGCCCATACCTCAGAAGCCTTTCAAGGAGGTAAGGGACCATATGAAGGGGCCGTATGACTACCCTTTGGTCCTGGCCCAAGCATCAACCCCTAGGGGGTCCACACAAACAGTATATGCTTGGGCCCTGAAGCTACTATGTAGGAACCCCTTCAAGGCCCAAGTTTAGACTCTCCGGGTACCCTAAACCCTACACCCTATATGAGTTACGTGGACCCTCTGGACAAAGAAACCATGCCTCGAGCAGCGCTCGGGACGTCAGAGATTCGCTGGGCTGGCGAGGGCGCGCCTGGCGCGGAGTTGTCACGGTTTACAGGGCATAAGGTCATAAGGGTTTCATGTTTAATCCGAGCATCAGTTTAGTTAATACCCCCACATTGAAAGGAATTTTTTTTGGCCGGAAGCCCGCCGGAAGACTACTTTCCATTAGGGTGGATTTCGTATGGGACAAACCCCCCACATTTAAAGGAATTTTTTGGGGGGGTTCAAAAATCTGTCGGCAGGCTTCTTGTTTTGCTTGCGGAGACGCAAAGCTACAGCACCTCAGGGATCTGCAGCCTATTGTTTTGAATAGAGAATCAATACAGGGCCACGGTCCAACTATTGCGGAACCCTGCATTCCTTATTGTGGAAGGGGGGGGGGGGGGGCCCCCCCCACCAATTAAACAGAAGCTCGGATTAGGGGTTAGAATTCGGGAATTCGGGTCCACAAAAAAAGTCCCTTAATGGAGTAAACGGGTTTCACTCCTAAGAACATAAGGTGCTCTGGAGTTTCAGGGCCGCGACAGAAAGCTTAGCAGTTTGTTTTTTGCCACCCGCCTATCTGAACTAAGATCCACATTGCATATGGCATATGGCATATTTGGTACGAGACAGATTTCAAGTGTTTGTTAGCTGAACTGTGCGTCCACATTGCGGGGGTTTAGCATTAGTAAGGTTTACAAATCACGCGCATCCCGTTGAGGTTTAGGGTTTGGGGTTAGGACTTTTGGGTTGAGGGATGTTGAGGGTTTAGGGGGCTTGGGGTTTGCGACTGAAGCTTTAGGTGGGCGAGGGTTCAGGGTTTGAGGGGCTTAAGCATCAATGTAATCTTCTGAGCCGACTCAGTGTCGAGGAGCGTGTGCTCCCAGAATTGCGAAGGATCTTTTTCAAGGATGTCTTCATCAAAGTCAGAACGAGAACCTGTGCATTCATCTTCTACAATCGCAGTATGAAGACCTGCGCTACCTAGACCGCCCATAGACTCAGCTGAAGCTGCACAATCTACGTGTTTGGCATTCATGAGTCATGACTTACATCACAATCACAATCACCATGACCATGTTGATGCGTACGTGTACGCCTGAGGATGTAGACCCCCAGGCCTTTGGGATTGCTCTAAGCACAAACTGAACCCGAGCACTCCATGTCTGGGAAACTAGATCAGCCAAGAATGCCTCCATCCCGGAAGATCAAAGCCTGAAATATAACGCTGCAAGACCTGAGCAGACTGTGGACGCTTAGTGATGTGGGGGTTTCCGAAAATAAGGGGACCAAAAATAGACCCCCCAAAAATAATAGGAATCCCTAATTATAGGGACCCCAATAAAGGTACCCCGAACTTAGGAAACCCACCCTTTCCCGAAGGGTCCATGTACCACATTATTATATACTTGGGCCCAAAAGCCCCTATATAAGAGGTCCTTTAAGGCCCAAGTCCTCCCTATTTAGGTCCATGGACCCTTAGGGTTTTGTTTGGGTTTGAGATCGAGCCATCCACACGACAGCGCCAGGGCGTCCTTGTGGCAACAGAGGTGTGGAGCCTTCCAGATGTCCTCGGCTCCCACCCAGCCGGATTTTAACACCGTTAGGGTTTAGGGTTTAGGGTTTAGGGTTTAGGGTTGTAGGACAGCTCCCCAGAGCCGACCCGAGACATAGTCGAAATGCGACGCGGTGCCCAGATCTTCCAAAAACCCTTACAAGTAAGGAATAGACCCCAGTTCATAAGAATGATCCCTAGTATAAATTCGGGAATATTCCTTAAATCCGGGGCTTTGGGAAATCTGGGTGCAGACTGTGAGGGCTCAGCTCCAACATTTTTTTCTGGGGGAGCGGCGGCGGGTTGATATTACGTGGATTTATTGAGGAGGGACTGCAGTGCGATTTGCCGGATATACGTGGATAAGACTGGAAGTGACTGGAAAAAATTCGGCTTCTCCCGCCCGGTTGAGAGGTGACTGGCGAATAGAGTTGAATCACTCCCTGAAACTGTCACCAACAAATGAAACATTCCTGAATCACGGTTTTGATTTCTCTGGTCCAATCCTAAGCCAAAAGCAACATTGAGCAGCCAAGCATCAAAGCACCCGCGCGGTGCTCGGCCAAGGTTGGAACAGCATCTGCCTTAATTACTGGGTGTGTTTGGTTTAGGGTTTAGGGTTTAGGGTTTAGGGTTTAGGGTTTAGGGTTTAGGGTTTAGGGTTTAGGGTTTAGGGTTTAGGGTTTAGGGTTTAGGGTTTAGAGTTTAGGGTTTAGGGTTTAGGGTTTAGGGTTTAGGGTTTAGGGTTTAGGGTTAGGGTTTAGGGTGACAACCGCCGTGGAAGCAACGTAAGGTGCCGAAACACAAACGCCCCCTGCCTGTATGAGACTTGAACCATAGCAACCTCAAACGAACTGGCGTCTAATACTAGGTCCCTTATATGAAGTGTTAGGACAACATGGCTTGCCCACTTGGAGGTTCATGGGTAGAAGTGGGGCTATAAGCAAGGTAACTTTAAGTAGAACTGATTATAACCATATTAAATATTTTGGGGTACTTAAAACGCCACTTATAACTACGCATGAACCTTCAAGTACCCCTCCCCCCCTCCCTTTGGACCGCGCTCACTACAGGACCTCATAAACCCGAAGCAAAGCCCCGAGCTGCCAGACCTCACAGAACTCCCGGGTTTACGGGCTTAGGGTCCCTAAACCCTAAACCCTAAACCCTAAACCCTAAACCCTAAACCCTAAACCCTAAACCCTAAACCCTAGACCACTGACGGTCCGAAAGTGCCGGGGCTCTTCCACCCTACCTTCCTCCTAGCCTTTGGGGATCTACTTGAAGCTTCAGGGGTAGATATAAGTAGGGTTCTCTAAGTACCCTAAACAAGGTTATAACCAGTTAGAATTATAGTTACCTTACTCATAACCCCACCCATAACTACCCATGAACCTCAAGTAGGCTTTACAGGTTTATGAAATCCCGACTGCAGGGTAGAGGATGTACAGACTGGGAACTGGGAAGTATGCTGTTCAACAATGTTTAAGGGGGGGTTAAAGGTTTTGGGGTTCCCACTCCTACTTGAAGGTTCATAAGTAGTCATTATACGTAGTGCTATAAGGGGCCTATATAAGGATATAACCAGTTAGAAGTGTAGTTGCCTTACTTCTAACCCTACTTATAGCTACCCCTGAACCTCCGAGCAAAGCCCTCAGCCCCTCAAGACCCAAGTTGCGCTGCCTCTGAGAGGAGTTGAAGCAAGAGCCAGGGACAAGGAAGTGGGCAGTGCGAAGGAAGCGATGCGCTTGCTCTACGTCGTCAACTTCCTTTGGGCGGATCTGGGGGAGGCGGCTTGGGGGTCTAGGTTTTAGGGGTTTAGTAGGGTTTGACGGTTTGACCCTAAAACCTAGGGGTTGGGGTCCAGGGCCCTTAACCCTTCTTGAAGAACAACTGGGACTTTGTGTTTAGAAACGCAGTAGGAATTTAGGGACTATAGGGTTGGGGATCATGGGTTTAGGGTTTAGGGTTTAGGGTGTAGGGCATCTGGAGATTTTTGAGGCCCCACAGGGTTCCACCCTGGCAGTCAAAGCGTCCATGTTCCCTCGCAGGGCAATGCGGCTCCGCCCGAAGCTTCGTGGCAGGTGTTGCAAGCTGCCTGACGCCCAGGGAAGGTTTAGGGTTTGGGGTTGGGAGTTTGGGGTTTAGGGTTTAGGGCTTTCGGTTTATCCGAACCCCGGGTACGTGAACCCTGAAAACCCTCAACCCTAAACACCGGGGCTTTGGACTGGTTTAGGGTTTGAAACTCATGGTTGGACTGCCCCGTGCCCCGTGCCCAAAACCCTAAACCCTAAACCCTAAACCCTAAACCCTAGAACTTCCTGGCACCCGCGGAGCTCATTAGCTCCCCACCCCTAAACCAGCTGCCCCTGTTTTGGGCCGCCTGAGCCTTTGGGGTTTGGGGTTTGGGGTTTAGGGTTTAGGGGTTAGGGTTTAGGGTTTAGGGTTTCAGGGTTTCGGGGTTTCGGGGTTTAGGGTTTAGGGTTCAGGGACTCAAACACCTACTTTTGTGGTAGGCTACCTAGGAGTCCTAAATGGGGCTTTAGAGAAATAGCCTACAAAAAGTCTAAGTAGGCTTTGAGTTCTGGGCTTTAGAAGGTACCTCTTATAGAACTTGGCGTAAAGGCCCAACCCACACCCTCTTTTGTCTCACAGGAGTCTATAAGACTCATGCGCCGGGCCTGAACGCAGGAACGCGCGATGCTCAGCCACCACATCTTCGTAGAGTAACGGCAGGGCAGCGGCTGCCGACATATGAGTGCTGCGAATGTTGGGCTTGCACGGTGCTTGGTACCCTACAGAACTGAGGGCTTCAACAAGGGAATTGGGCACCTTATATCTCCACACATATATATGTTTATATGTACACTCACACCCTTTGAGGGGTTACATACAGGATTATCAGATGCCTGCCTCATTCCCTGCTTAACCAGTAGGCTCCAGGAATGTGCTTCTCAAGGAGTGTCTCTTGTTTTCAGAAGCCCGGATATTGCGATGCTGAGGGTTTAGGGCTCTCGGGCTTCTACTGAAACATGGCAGACGAAGAGTGTATCACATCAAGTCTTGTACGTACCCGGCCCCTACCTTAGGGAAAAGATTAGGGGTACCCTTGAGGATATAGACCCTCTGAATAAAATCTCTGTTTAAGAGAGCCAGAAGAGGGTAAAGAAGGGTTCCCCTTTAAGGGTCCCCCTTATCCTACCTAGGATACCTGCGAACTGCTGCTGCAAAGCTGTATGGGTTTGCGGGTGCGGGGGGGCCATTTTGCACATGGAGTGCTCCCTGGCTTCAGCTTCCTCTACTGCTACTCCTTGGCGGGACTCCGCTCTCGTGTGCTCGAATTACATGTACATACCTCATCTCCTGCAATAGCTCTTGGGTTTTGTTGGGGAATCACCACAGCAATCATTTCAACCATGTAGATGCGTGCCTGACTGGCCCTCAGCACTCTGGGAGTGTTGCCTTTTTTTACGCGTGTCCCCTTTGCTCACCAACCCGAGCTGAGGGCGCAATGCCGGCGAGGCCCATACCCTCGACTCTAACCTGTAAACCCAGAAGCCTCAACAGGCTCTGTATCCAACAAGCCTCAACCCTAAACCTAAACCCGAAACCTCAAACCCTTACAGACCCTCAAACCCAGAAGTGGGCCCCGACTTCGCGAAGGCCTCTTCCGCCGCCTGACGGAAGCTGCCAGGAGCAGTTGGCTGAAACGCTTGGAAGAGTAGGGCGTTTCTTTTTTTGGTTGCTTCTTTACAATGTTTGTGGTGGTTCTTACAGGTATAGGTCCTTGGGATATTCTGTCTTTCGCTTGCTGGGGCTTTCAGGATCACATTTACGAAGATTTTCAGAGCCATGTTCGAGGCTTGTTGAGGGTCCCCCATGCTTTGGGCCTGACTCGTGCCAATGCCCATTGAACCCCTCGCCCGAATTGGGGCTTGATGTTTGGGCCCATACTCCACTTTGCTGAGGAACACCAGAGCTATGTCATGGTCCCAGGCGCGCAGCTTCTTCAGGGCTTGAGCCAGTGAGCACGTTGTCGGGGTAAAGAGTTGAGGTTTTAGGGTCGGTCTGGGGGCTTAGGGTGCAGGTTGTGGGGGTTTAGGGTTTCAGGGTTTCGGGTTTCGGTTTTTTGGGTTTTTAGGCTTCAGGGTGTAGTTTAGGTCTTATTATAAGGCTTCGGCCGCAAGCGAGAAGGCTTTAAGGGCTACGTTTTGGGCACAAGTGAGGCTAGAGCTTGGGTACCTCGAAACCCTATATCCTACAGCTGATAAGCCCAAGCATTGCACCCTGAACCACATGCGCAATCGCAGAAGGCTTATAAGCCCGCAACCCTAAACTTAGCAGAGTTCAACAGCAAGAGTGCGCGGAGGCGATCTGCAAGCACACTTCCGAGTGTCTAGGTTTCGGGCTTAGGGCTTAGGGCTTCGGGCTTCGGGCTTAGGGCTCAGGGCTTAGGGAATGCTGTTCGGCCACTGAGCTGCCCTAAATCCCATCTACTCCCCGAACCCTAAAGCCCCAAGACCCTCTCAACTCAGATGCCTCGACGGGCAAGTCAAAGATTGACCGAAGCCACCGATCTTCCACAAGGTCCGTCCTGAAAGGACAAAGGTTTGGCTTTCTAAGTGTTTAAGGGTTTAGGGTTTCTGGTCTAGATCCTAGGCTACTTGAAGCACTGCCCTTTTTTGTGGCAGGAAGACTCCGCATCACTGCCTGCTTTGCCCTAGAAAACGAACAGCCCCCAAAAACCCGAAATGAGCAACAGCCCTAAACCTGCTAACGGCCAGCTGACTCCACGCAGCCAATCAGACAAGCCATGTGCCATGAGCCCTGCACCTCACTTGGAAACCCTTCTGGCTTCGTAAGTAGGGTTAGTAAGGTGGGTTCTGGGGATTACAATAGGGTTTCTGGGGCATACTAACTAGACTAAGTCAAAAGAGCTTATAAGTAAGGAACTCAAGGAGTGTAAATATTCAAAGCTCTCCCGAGCCAAGCAAGAACTAATGCACAAAGTCTCCGTCAACCCACCCAGCGTGCCCTCGCTCCTGACCACACGCGGATCCGACACGACCTGGAGGTTCCAACCAGTAGTTAGCCAAGTGGGTTTAGGGTTTAGGGTTTAGGGTTTCGGGTTTAGGGTTTAGGGATTGAGGCAGGGGGCTGATGTAACTGTTGCTCGGGTGGTGGTTTGAGGTTTAGAATCGGGGACAGTAGGGGTGCACATGGGTGCTTTCACACCATGTGGAACCCAATGTCGGAACGAAAAAAAGTGAAAGGAAGATGGGGATATGCGCCTGAAGGACCAGGCATTTCGCGTGCACCGATACTTTAGGGCCACACATCAGTGGGTAGCCCAGTAACCAAGTCATTACAGTACGGGCACCCTTTTTTGGGTTGGCTGCTTTTATCAGGGAACCCAGAACCAAAAAGAGTGTACAGGGCACCACCGGGCTACCAGGCACTTTTCTTGGCTGCACTTAGGAGGCTAGCTATAAATCCGCCGAGGCCTCGGGCCGAAGGTGTATAGGTAGTCAGAACAGGCACCCCCTCCAAATCCTCCCCCCAGGCCCAAAGCCCTTTTTCAAATGGGTACCCCCCCTAGGTGAGCAGGGTCCGCAAGCGGATGGTTCGCCAGGACCAGAGGCAGTTGCAGCCCTTCCCAGCAGGGCCCCCCCCTTTTTCCCCCCCCGTGCCTTGGACGCTTAACGTCTATTCTGCGCGCTCTTTGTTTTCTTGGATTCTTCCCGAAACTTTTTGACGTGAGGCCGCGGGGACGACATGGTTAAGGGAGAGGGTTCGGAACATTTGCTGGGAGAGGGGCGTGGCGGGGAGCGTGACATTCCCTTGATGGGCAGGGGAGTGGGGACACGTGGATGTTCCTCCGTGCCCTCCGCGTTTGCAAGCCCTCCGCGCCCTCCGCGCCTCCGCGCCCTCCGCGCCCTCCGCGCCCTCCGCGCCCTCCGCGCGCTCCGCGCGCTCCGCGCCTCCCGCGCCCATCCGCGACCGCTCCGCTCCCATCCGCAGCGCGCGCTCCGCGCCCTCCGCGCCTCCCGCCGCGTCGACCTCCGCGCCCTCCGCGCCCTCCGCGCCCTCCGCGCGCGCGCTCGCGCGCTCCGCGCCTGGCGTCCTGCCGCGCCCTCGCGCCCTTCCCGCCTCCCGCGCTCCCCCGCCCTCCGCGCGCTCCGCGAGGGCGCGCCCTCCGCGCCCTCCGCTCCTTCCGCGCCCTCCGCGCCCTCCGCGCCTCCGCGCGCTCCGCGCCTTCCGCGCCTCCCTCCGCCCCCATCCGCGCCCTCCGCGCCCTCCGGCCCTCCTCTGCGCCCTCCGCGCCGCTCCGCGCCTCCTGCGCCTTCCCGCCATCCGCGCCATCCGCCCTCACGCGCCCTCCGCGCGCGCCTCCGCGCCCCTCGCGCACCCTCCGAGCCTTTCTCGTCCCTGAACACAGTTTCTGGATGCTAAGGGTTCAATTGCGTCTCTTCGGGTGCGTTGGGTCTATTCTGCGGGTGTTTTTCCTTTGTAAACGTATTGTTTACAAGGCACGCACCCGTGCAGCATAGCCTTTAAGTGTCCATCTTACCACCCCCCCCCTAACCCCCCCCCCCCCCACCCCTACTACCCCCTACCCACACCCCCCCACCTCCCCCCTACCCCCCCCCCCCCCTATCCCCCCCCTACCCCCCCCTTTTGTCCCTCCCACAAAAGCCACATGCGCGGCTGGGTTCGAGGTGCTAATGGACGCAACAAGAGGGGCTTGATGTTTGTAGGTGTCGCTATAGCACACCCAATGGTTCATAACCTAAAGGTGTCGCTTTTCAAGTGTTCCCATCGTTTTACAGGGTTTTGGGCATTCGTGTCCACCCCTTGCTTAATTGAATGGCTGGGGGTTTTGGCGCTTGCTCACATAAGGTGTTTGTGAAAGGCGGAGTTTCCTGCTCCGACGCGCTGGCTTGAGGGCCGGAGGCTCAACTGGTGTGAGCACGGCCGAGGTGTATAGGTTCACAAATCCTCCCCCCGCACCCAAAGCCTGTGGCCTCAAATGGGTACCCCCCCTGGGAAACCGGGGTCGGTTCGCCAGGACCAGAGGCAGTTGAAGCGTCACCCACACACCCCCCCCCCCCCCCCCCCCCCCACCCCCCCCCACCCCCCACCCCACCCCACCCCCCCCCCACCCCCCCCACCACCCACCCCCCCCCCCCCCCCCCCCACCCCCCCTCCCCCCACCCCCCCCCCCCCCCACCCTGCCCAAGAGTCGCCTTAAACCTTAAGGGGCCTAGCTCACCCAAGAAAACCCTCAACCCCAAAGCGTGAACCTTGAGCCCTAAACTAACCCTCAACCCCAAACCCCAAACCATAAATTATAAACCCGGAACCCTCAACCCTCAACCCTCAACCCAACCCTTATTGCTTGGGGTCCAGCGACTTGGGCGCTGCGGAATCACCATGCTCACGCGGATGCGCTGGGCCGGGCCGAGGCGGGTCGCGTAGCGTTAAAATTAAATTTTTAGCTGCCTTATTAAGAAACCCAATAAGCCCAAAAAGGCTAAAGATGTAAAGTTACAGTAAAGCACCACAAAGTTTTAGGGCCACATATCAACAGCACACTGCAAGCGTGTCAGCCGGGTGGCCGTGTAGAAGACGGAGTCGAAGTCATTGCAGATTGGCTCCTGCAAACCCCGGGTGCTTTACCTAACCCTAAACTCCTAAACTTGGGATCTTCACCCTTATGCTGACAGTCCTTGATGGGGATTATAGCTATAGCCCCTACTAAGGACCGTTCGTATCAGGGGGAACATCTCAAACCTAAAGCCCTTTTGCATCCAGGCCAAACCCTACCCCAAAACAAAAGCCCTAAACCCTAAACCCTAAAACCCTAAGCCAAAAACCTTAAGCCTTAAACGCTAAATTTCCAAGCCTATTTCGATAGCAGCTAGGTGCCCACCCTTGTGCGCCTCATCCTCGCAACTGACGACCGGCTCTCCCGCGAGAGACATATGAATCCTGGAGACGCTCTTCTTACTGTTGGTTAGTAGGGAATGGGGGAATGAGGTACCCTATATCGCCCTATATACACCCTTTAAGGGATTATATAAGGTACCACATTCCCCCGTTCCTTGCGAACCAACAGTATGTTTTGGGCTCTGAGGCGTGTCTACTTGGTTCACGGTTAGTTCCAAGTAGGGTTAGGGTTTAGGGTTTAGGGTTTAGGGTCAAGGGTCTAGGGTTTAGGGTTTAGGGTTTGGGGTTTAGGGCTTGGGGTTTAGGGTTTAGGGTTTGGGGTTTAGGGTTTTAGGGACCCTGCCCTCGCGCATGCATGTCAGCTGTGCTAGGTCCGAGCAGAGCCTGTCTTGGTAGCCCAGTAACCATATTTCTACGGGCACCCTTTTTTTCTGGTTTGGTTACTTTATAAGGGAACCTTGAACCAAAAAAAGGGAAAAGGGTACCACTGGGTTACCAAGCCGTAAAAAAATAGCAAGTGTCCATTTGTAAGATCGTGGGTTCCCCTATACTACCCTCCCTAGGTTCCCCCCATAATTAAGGCGATTTTGGGGTAATTAAGCTTAATTAAGGTTATTTAAGGGGGGAACCTAGGGGGGGGGTGGTATAGAGGGGGGTAGTAGGGGAATCCATGATAAAAAAAGGGAGAGAAAGAAGTGCCCCTCGGAGTCCTGGCCACAGGCCCCCTGAAAACTGGACGCTTAGCTCGAAGAGATTCCTCGAATTCTCAAAGGGCTCCTGTCATGCATGGAAGATTCCTTAAGAGGAGTCTTGGAGTCTCTAGGAAGGCCCTCAAGGGCGTATAAACCCTCAACCCTAAGCCCTACGCCCGAAACCTTGCTGCATGTGTCCGCCCTACAACCTAAACCCAAAAAGCCAAAAACCCGAAAAGCCCTAAAACCCTACAACCTTTAAAAAAACCCTCAACACCCTAAACACCCTCAAAACCATAAAACAAACCGAAAAAGCACGCTTAAAAAAAACCTTAAACCCTGCCACCCCGCGAGCCGCGCTTTGGGCGACCCCACTGGCGGTTCGGGCCGATGCGCTGCCCCCGGAGGGGGAAGATCAGGGTCTCCTTCGGCCTTAAGCTTCTGGCGCAAACGGGAGAGGCTTACATGTACATGGTTTAGAAGGTTTAGGGGTTGAAGTCTAAGAGTAAGGTCTCCTGCGGCCTTAAGCTTCTGGCTCTCAGGGGTCGAGGGTTTAGACATGGTTTAGAAGGTTTATGGGGTCAAAGTTTAGGGTTTACAGTTTGGGGTTTAGGGATTGGCTCTTCTAGGTTCCATAGGGTTTACGTGTGTAGCCTTTGAAGCCTGCGGAGCTTTTGGTGTTCAGGGCTTGGCAGACTTTGCAGAGGCTCCAGCTGAGCAGAAAAGGGCTGGTTTTCATGAGTTCATTTTCGAGGCTGCCCAGTAACCAAGGCTTAAAAAGGGTGCCCCTTTTCTGCTTAAAGGGGTTTATAAGGGAACCTAAGCCCCCCAAAAAGGGAATAAGGGTACTACTGGGCATCCTAGATTTTACCGGGCATGGGATTTAGGGCTGTTGTCCTTCTGATCACGTCTGTGCAGTCTGTTGAATGAGAACATAGAGTTCTCAACAAGTGTGTTGCTGATCACACTAACCCTCTGACATCACAACCGGTACGGTCTAACAACTTCAACTCCTTAATCCGGACCCTACACACAAAGCGACTCAAATCAGGTTCAGGGTTTTGCTTTGCCATAAGAGCGCAAAGCCTACTTGTTCGCAGGTTACCTGAGAATCATGTAAGGGGCTTGATACAAAGAACCTACCAGAAAAAAATAGTTTTGGGGTTCCCGAGGTACATCCCTAAACCCTAAAAACCCTAAACCCGAAACCCAGGATCTAGCTGTAGGAGCTCCCCCTAACTTCCGAAGACTCTTCGAGCTCAGAACTACAGCCCGGCATGGAGGTTTTTGTGCCGTAGACCCTGGACCCTACAGACCCTATAGGGTTTAGGGTTTAGGGTTTAGGGCCCCTAAACCCTAAGCCCTAAACCTTCAACCGTAAACAAGGGTTTAGCCGTGATGGCTTAACCTGTTCCTGGAAGACCAAACCTTCCCGCAGCAACTTAGTGTTGCGTAAGTGTTGGGTTCTTTAAGCTATGATCCCTTTTTGGGTACCCTAGATAGTAGAGGCGCCTTAGAATAAATACGGATACCCCCAAAAGGAACCATAATTTTGAGAACTGACCATCTCCTTTATTCCACTCGTAGGATTTTGCGTCACATGGGTTATGAGGGGGCCAACATTGGCCAAGTGTTCCCTCTTTTACCAACAGTCCTTATAATCGGGATTACAAAAGGGGGTACTAGAACCCCCATTTAGGAGCTGTTAGTATAAAGGGGGAACATCCCAACCCTAAACCCCTAAACCCCAAACCTAAAATCCCTATACTAAGGACCAACTTATAAGTCCATCCCAAAAGGCCAACCATTGGCAAGCGTTCTCATGCGCTGGGCGATGGACAGATCACTCGTCCCGTGCGGCAAGTTGATCTCGTCTTCCACATCCTGCGCGGCCATGCGTTGCATGAACCCTAAACCCTAAACCCTAAACCCTGAACCGTAAACCTTAAACCCTAAACCATAAAACTGTAAACTTACACAAGGAGCTAGTGCAAGAGGTTCGCCAGCCGAGGCTCCTAGCATGATGGACTCACAGGTTTGGGTTTCAGGTGAAATGAAGGCCACATGGGAATTAGGTGCTTCAATGGGCTTTTATAGGGCAATGTATGTGGGCTTACGAACATAAGGAAACCCTAAAACAAAAAAATAGCAGGCTTCCCTTAGAAGAAGGACCGGGGGAAACCCCCGTATGTTTCAAGGGAAAGGCGCTTCCCAAGCGCCCTTGCACTCTGTTTAGGGTTTAGGGTTTAGGGTTTCGGGTTTAGGGTCTGACTTGGGCTACTTGGAGGTTCATGGGCAGTGGGGTTCTAAGTCGGGTAGCGATTTAAATACCAGTGGCTGTGACCTTATTTAGGGTGCATATAACCCGACTTAGAACTACCCATGAACCTTCACCCTCAACCCTACAGTAAACCCTAAACCCTAAACCCTAAACCCTAAACCAACTGCAACCCTGACTCTTGAAGGCTGCAGGTGGGAAGATGGAGCCGGGGAGTTGGCTGAGATCCCCGCAGCCCGCGGCAGCACGGACAGCTTTAGCCTCTGCGGACGTAGCTTAACAGAGGGTTTAGGGTTCAGGGTTCAGGGTTTAGGGTTCGGCTTAGTCGGAAGCTTTACTAATAGTATTACCTTATTGACACCTCACAGCAGTGGCACAGGCTATGTCATCATGATGGAGGCCCTGCCCAAAGCAGGGGACGAGGTCTTGGGTTGTTTGTCCATGCCTGCAAGGCGACAGAGACACGGACCCAAGACATTTCAGGAACAACCTCCTGTAGAGCGCGGATTCCTTGCATCACCTGGCATAGAACTAAACCCCTGAACCCTGAACTTGCTTTAATATCGAAACCTGAAGGCTGCTTCAAAAACTGAACACCCTGCACCCCAAACAGCTGCAAAGAGCCTTCCAAGCCCCCAAGTCCTCGTAGCCCTAATCGCACCCGACTTGAAGGTTATTGGGTAGTTGTAAGCAGCGTTTGAAGCACCCTGAATAGGGATCTAAATATCACCCTACTGAACAACCTCCAAGTAGGCAAGACCCTCAAAAAGGCGCTGAGGTTGCGGCACAGTTTGGTTTGTCGCTTTCACACAGCGGTCGAAGTGGAGAACGATCTTGCAGCTTAGGACCCTGCACCCTAAACCCTAAACCCTACAGGGTTTAGGCCCAGATTTGTGCACCAGAGACGAACCTTTCACTGGGGACCCTTGAAAACTCGAAGGCATCTTTCCTTCAGGGGCCTTGGGCTTTCGGGTTTCCAAGCGCTACAGCTGTGACCCACTGACACGGGCGCGCTAAACCCCAAACCCTCAACATGTTTAGGGTCTTGGGGTTGAGGGCGGGGTTGCCTAGTGGCCTTGGCACATCAGCAGGGTGGTAGGAATTGATTCAAGGCCCTGATGGCCTTGGCCACATTGCTTTCACCCCTTGCCATCGGCCCCTCTGTGGTCGAATCGAATATACGGAACACACAAAGCATGGACGTCAGAATTGAGAGCCGCCTGACCCTAATTGGACCCCCAAACGCTAGAGTTGAGCCGGTCCGAGCTCAGGGGCTTTGGGCAAAGGGTTTAGGTGTATAGGGCCCTAAACCCTAAACCCTAAACCCTAAGCCCTAAGCCCTAAGCCCTAAACCTCAAACCTCGAACCCTGAACCCTCAAGCGGCAAAGGAGGCCACCCCAAGTGAGAGGTGAGAGGGTCTGGGATTCCATGGGACTTTCCACTCTTCTTTGCAAGGGGTGGGGATGAATGACAAAAAAAGGCATTAGGGTTTAGGGTCTAGGGTTTTGCATATCCGACTTATGACAGAGCGTATAACAAAACTTGCTCTGATGAATATTCAAATAGACCCTAAACCCTAAACCCTAAACCGGAAACCCTAAACCCTTAGCCCTAAGCTCAGCTGAGGTTTGCGCGAACTCAAGGTCGGCAGCCTTGGCTGCCACTGAGCTTGGGATGTTTAGGGTTTAGGGTTTAGGGGAATGATTGGGAGCGGCACACGCTATGCATGCACGTTCATGCTTGAGGCTGTGGACTTGATGTCTGGAGGCTGCTGGGCAAGAGGAACCGTTCTAACACACCATTGCCCAGGGGAGGTGTGGGCTTTTCTCTTGAATGAACCCAAAACCCAAAACCCTAAACCCTAAACCCTAAACCCCCTAAGAGCCTAAGGCCGCTTGCCCTGAACGTGCTATCCCTATAGTCCCTAGAGTCACAGTCCCTGTCTCAAGCCAGTCTGGGGAAATATCATAAGGAAGCTGCGGTTTGGGGTTCGGGGTTCAGCCAGACTCAGCTATGTGATTATCCTCCCCCCAAATGTCCAAAACAGGAACTACAACTAAACCCTGTACCTCCTTGAGAACAAACTTTTTACAGGATTGATTCTGGGGACTAGAAGGCCTGATAGCTCTAAACCCTAAACCCTAAACCCTAAACCCTAAACCCTAAACCCTAAACCCTAAAACCCTAAAACCCTAAAGGGCGCTCTTAAGCGCAAAAGACAAGTCTATAGGGCTCCCCGCCACTCCCTGCTCGTCGATGGCCGGCCAGCGGCTCGTCACGCGGGCCTCAAAGCAGTTTCGGGCTGAGAAGTGAAGCTCAAGGATGTTTAAGGGGGTTTAGGGTTTAGGGTTTAGGGTTTAGAGTTTAGGGTTTAGGGTAACCCTAGCCATGCTATTCATAACTAGGCCCACGGAACTGAGAGGCGCATGCAGGGGCAGCGCAAAAGAAGACGTAGGCACGACCGACACGCTACTATAGGGGCCTTAATAATTAGAATAGTTGCTTTTGGGGGGTAATGATTATAGTATACTTGTGTAGGGACCATAAAGGAATACCATGAGGAATTATTCCGACCAGTGCAATAGCGGGAAAGCTGAATAAATCCCGGCTTATATAGGGTTGGGTCTTTTTAACCTAAACGCTTAAAAACCCTTCACTCCCCTACCATCAAGGCGCTGCAGGTGACCAAGAAGTGAAAGTGGTATTCATGTGCGTGTAACCTTACGGAACAGCAGCCTACCAGGAATTGCGTTTAGGGTTTGGGAATATGAATTTCCCATTTGTTCCTTTGAAGGGATTGTCTAGGGTACACAACTCCCTAGCCGCTACGGTTATGTGGAACCTTCCTTCCTTCTGCCACACCCCTTTTCGGCTTGCCAGTTCATGGCGGTTCTCAGAGAAAGGGTCCCTTTTCTGGGTGCCCTGGACATCAGAGCCCGAATTCGATGAGGTAAGTTTTGTGAACCAACCACATTTTCAGGGCTGTCTCGAGCCACGGCGCTGTACTGTAGACAGTCAGGCTGACAACAATCCGGACCCCAACCCAGATCGTCTAGGGACCCTAAACCCTAAACCCTAAACCCTAAACCCTTAAGCCTTAGGGACCCTAAACCCTAAGCCCCCAAAACCCACGCCACGGCTGGGTGCCGGGCACACGTAGCATTGGGAGGAGGCTTCGGCCTCTTAGGGGCACGTTTTGTAGAGCTTTAGCAGACTTGGGGGCCCCATTGTTTAGGGTTTAGGGTTTAGGGTTTAGGGTTTAGGCTGCTTGATTTCCTGAACCTCCCAGGTGTAGTCCCTTCTTCCTGAGTATAGCCGAAGAAATTTTCCGAAACCTAGGCAAAGCACAGAGGATAAACAATGGTTTGAAGTAGGGCTCAGGATTTAGAGGGGCTTTTGGGTCTTCAGGGCCAGGTCTCACTACCTGAAAGGTGGTTTCCGGATGTGACCAAGGCTCTCTCTCCCACCAGGCCCAAGACGAAGGGATTTTTAAATCAAACCCCAAACAGGGAACCACAGGGATATGGTTTCTTAGGGTAGTTGCACGGTCCCTTAGTATAGGCCCTTAGAAGGGTGGCCCTTACATACCCCTGATATACCCTATACAAACTGAGGGCCCATACATCAGAACCCCTTAACGAAGGTAAGGGAACAGATTAAGGACCCATGAAACTGCCCTCAAATATTCGGAATATAGCCGGAAGATACCTACTTCTATTCTCTTTATGTTCCTACTATCTTCTTGGGGTTGCCTGTCTGGGGTTCCCATTCGGATCCTTTTACAAGAGAAACAAAGGGTGCCTGGCATGCTTGCAGGAGTTATCAGTGGGGTTATATGGAGGGTAGCTATCGTTATAAACTGGGCATGACCTTATCTCCTCAATCTAGACCAACGAGTAACCCGGGAATTCAAAAGCGTGCCATTTTGGGTTAAAAAGGGCTACCTAAACCCGAACAAAAGGGATTTAGGGCCTGGGTACCCTAAACCCTAAACCTGGTGTATTTACAACCCGCTTATACTAGTTTTACCCTAAACCCTAAACCCTGTTCCCTGTTCCCTAAACCCTAAACCCTAAACCCTCAACCGAGGAACCTCCTGGCGCCTCTAGCTCTTTGAGCCCAGAGCCCGTGGAAGGCGACATGCTCCAAACACCCGATGCAGCCCGAAACCCCTTATTTTTGAACCCAGACTCAGAGCATCAGCCCCAAACCCTAAACCCTAAACCCCCTAAACCGCTAAAACCGCTGGACCCCTAAACTCCCTAAACCCTCTTTGAGGCCGCGGCTTGTCGAGCCTTCGGCTGGCTTTGGCGAAGGAGGTACACAAGATGGGGGGGGGGGGGCTTTTTGGGAGTTGCACGGATCAAAACACTTCAGGGTTTAGGTTTAGGGTTTCGGGTTTAGGGTTCAGGGTTCAGGGTTCAGGTTTTCGGGCTAACTGAAGGCTCGTGCGTACTTATGAGTAGGGTTATCAGTGCCCTCAATAAGGTTATAACAAGCTAATTAAAGTCACCCTACATATACAGGGTTACATATACATATATATATATATGTATACCCCCCCCCCTGTCTAGCTACCCATGAACCTCCAAGAAAGAATTTCAAGCTGAAATTCAGAGTACAGGGGCTGAGACGGTTCAGGGATTAGGGCGGGCTTCGTGCTCAGCTCGCAGGACGAAGCTGATTTTTGAAGGATCGCGGGCGAAACATCCTTCTAGGCCAGGCGCTGTCTCTTCTTCTTCTTTCTCTTCTTCTTCTTCTTCTTCTTCTGCTGCTGAGTGAAAATGCCCCTCTCTCTCTGTCTCTCTCCCCTGCCGCGAAACCCCTAAGTCCCAAACCCTAAAACCCTGAAACCCTAAACCCTTAAGGCCCACCTAACCCTGGACTCTAAAACCCTAAAAAAACCTAAACGCCCTGAACCCCGAAAATCTCCAAACCGCCGAAAAAACAAAAAAAAAACGATAACCTACTGGTTCTCCGTACGTGTATCCCTCTAAACAATAAACACCCTAAACCCTACGTACACCCTTTATGGGATTCTATAGGATGCCACCCTCATTCCCGACCAAGATCCAGTAGAATACTTGGAGGTTTTCTGTAACTATAAGTGGGAATATAAGTAGGGCACACGCAACAATTATTATTCAGACTGGTTCTCACCTCACGTAGGGTACTTATCGCACTACCTGAAACTACCCATGAACCTTCAAGTAGGGTGTAGGGTTTAGGGTTTTTGGTTTGGGGTAGGGTTTAGGGTCTAGGGCTTGTAATAATAATAGTAATAACAATGTTGATGATGATGATAATAGGGGGTCTGAGAGTACCTGATTCCCTCATTCTCGACCAGGATCCAGGGTGGATGAGCCATCCAGTCCCCAAGATCCTCAAGTTCTCAATCCCTGCAGTCCTCCACCCGCGATAGGGTTCAAGCAGGGTTTAGGGTTTAGAGTTTAGGGTTCTCTCATTTTGGGGCCCTAAACCTAAACCCTAAACCCTAAACCCTTAACCGTTAAGGGTTCAACTCTCAAGGGAGTCAGACTTGGACTCCTGAGGATGTACCCCTAAGAGGTTCCCTTAATATGCTGCGAATATGCCCCCCTTATATTGCCTTTACAGGATCTTGAACTACTATTGCAGAAAAAGCCCCAAAAAGAACAAATGATCGCTAAAATATTGCTCTTATATGGAAGAATATTATCTATTTCTTGGGTGGGTCTTAAGCAAATAGTAGTTGAAAAGGGTCCCCAAACCCAAGGGAAAAACCTTAGGTTCCAATCGGTAGAGTCCCATGACATTTGCCAAAGGAGGAATACGCTCAACCTCCCTAGGGTTTAGGATTTAGGGTTAGGGCTTTGCTGGGTTGCGTGGGCCTTACGCTGTCATCACCCAGGTCGCCAGTATACGGTGGCACCTGAGTGAGAGGCGTCTCCAAAACTGACGAGGGTCATAGGGTCCATGGACATATCCCGGTTCTTCGCCTTAAAAAAACACAATGATGACAGTTTGGGATGCTCCCCCTTATACTAACAGTCCTGAATAGGGACTACAATAATAGTACCAGAATGCCGACTAAGGACCCTCAGTATAAGGGGGAACAGATGACGGTCTTCATGGGGTATGCTTAGAGGTCCTTGCAACATACTCAGAAATTGCAAAGCGGGGGGGGGGGGGGGGGGGGGGACCATCTTCCTGACTGTTAGATATGGAGTATTATGGAGTTGTGCGATGGTCCGCAACCCAAAACCCCTACAAACCACTATGGGAGGGGTTTGTTCTCCCTCAAGCTCGGGCCCACAAGGTGCAGGAAGCCCTGAAGCCTAAACCCTAAACCCTAAACCCTAACCCTAAACCCTAAACCCTAAACCCTCTTGCAGCGAAAGGCGCGCTCGAGCACTTCACCTCCAAGCGACCTGGGTCGATGGCGTAGCCTTAGCAAAGGTGTTGCGATGCGGAGACCAATAGTGTTCTCAAGTACTTCTCGCATGCGTGCCTCAATTCCCCTAAACCCCAAACCCTAAACCCTAAACCGTAAACCCTAAACCCCTACAAACCTGAAGTTGCTTCAACTGCAACGATTCTGGGCTGGGAGTTACCCTTAGGGTTTAAAACATGGCGCCCAAAAACTTTTAGTAATGAGGGCTTTGTGCCCAGAAACCTTAAAAAAGTGTCCTTCGAGCCTTAGGGTTAGGGTTGAGGCTCATGGGCTTTGGGGTTCCTTCGTGTGGTTCCGGAAGGATTGGCAACCCTAAACCCTAAACCCGAAACCGTGGTCTTGTTTGCAAGCACAGTCTCAAGAGTACCACCTCAGAAAGCAACCTCAAGCTTTGGTGACAAACTGGCGGTTTAGGGTTTAGGGTTTGGGGTTTGGGGTTTGGGGTTTACTGGGTGCTTGGCCACCACTCTCCGCCGTAAGCGCCTGGGATGACGAATGCTGAAGCAGCACAAACAAGAAAGCGGCCGGCGCACCCTAAACCCTAAACCCTAAACCCTAAACGCTAAACCCTAAACCCTAAACCCTAAACCCTAAACCGTGGTTGCACTGTTTGAGTCGAAACGACAGCTCGTCAGCATTGCTGAAGGAAGTGTACCCGAAACTATTAAAGCTTGGTTGTCAAATCAAGCTGGCCAGTATGGACAGCAAGCTGACGGCACATGTGCCGGCTGAACAAGGGTTCTACATTCATGCGAATACGGCGAGTTCAACTCCGGCAGGCAGATGGGAAGACCTACAGCCACTACCTATATTTCTGCAACGAGACGAACCCTGAACCCTAAACCCTGAACCAGTATGCAAGTATGACGTTTCTTAAAGTCCGTCACACGGTCCCTTCATATGGGCACTTACATAGGGACCCCTTGTATTCCCTAAACCCTAAACCCTAAACCCTTGTATATCCTAGAAAACCCAAAGGCAAGGGGCCATATTAAGGGACCATGAAACTACCATCCGCGAGTGGTCCTATTTCGCGCTCTCTCTCTCTCTGTATCTGGTTCTCTCTCTCCCTCTCTCTCTCTCGCTCTCTCTTTCTCCAATACTTCGGTTTAGGGTTTAGGGTCATTTAAGCAGAGTGTGCTTGCGAAACCAGGTAAGAGCCGTATCTAAACATAGCTACCCTCCTGGCAAGGGTCCAAGTAACCCTACTTAAGCAAAAACACCACAGACCTTCCAAGTACTTGAAGGCTCATGGGTGGTTATAGGTAGGGCTTGAATAAGTACCCTTCCTAAGGTTATCTTTTATACATACCCTAACTAACCATGGACCTTCCAAGTAGAGTTTCGGCAATACAGCTACCTTCCTCATCAGATCCTTCGAACCATACTTACCCTGCTTGCCCTAAACCCTAAACCCTAAACCCTAACCCCTAAGCAGGGTTTCGGCCGCAC